CTCGGTTGGGCAAGGCTGACTCCCGCCCGACCGCAATGAGCCAGTCCCTGCAGCCACAGCGGTTCAATTCTGAACGAGCACTGTGACAGCTGGACCTTGTAGCAGCGGAGCAAAACTGTGAACTGGCAAGAGCACATTGGGCTTTATAGATAACGTTTTGGGAAGCATTTGCCACATGGCATGTAACTAGTCTGAAGTACGGTACACATCCGTGGAGGGGCTGTGGAGCAGGTCCAAGTCAACGTGAGGTTGAAGCAGAGACTCTGCGGCGCAGGGGATGTTGTGAGTGTGAAGCTTGAAAATCCAACGGCCAAGGGGTTTATGCAGGCGTTGCTGGACGGGTGTAACGCAGAGCAGGGGTGCAGGAAAAAGGGGGAACGTGAGTATTTCAAAGGCAATCACATCAGACTGAGTCATTCTGTAATAGAACATAATTTAGAAGTGAGCGTCTCAAAATCCGATCTGCAAGGTATGGTTGACTTTATGGAGATTTGAGGTGGGGATTCGAACGAGCTTGTGATCTCTGCTGCACAACGGCAGTGCTGGAGAGAGGACCTGGAGGTCACCGTTTGACAGTCACAGAAGCCAGGTCTGACCCGTACAGCGTAGAGGGGGTGGGATAACTTGCAGACCTAGTACAGCCAACCATGCAGCAAACAATATTGGAAATTAAAGGTCAGAGAATTGATAGTAAGGCTTAAGAAAACAGCAATTAGGCTGCTAGGAAGGAAAGCTAAATTACCGGTAGTAGGAGTAGGGGGGGAAAAAAAGAGGATTATTGATCTAAATATCAAGTTGGCAGGTACACAGAGTACAATCTAGAGGTTTTTTACACCTCTGGGCTTATTCAACCCCCACAATAAGAAACACAGGCCTATAAAGATGGAATAAGAAGCAATCAATTAGGATGGCATTTGCTTGTTCCTGCACTGCAGCTGGGCAGGCACATCACAATTAATGATTCATTAGGAGATTTTCTTTTCCCCCCCCTGTTTTACACAGATTGCTGCAACCAGACCACAGTTGTTTATTACTTTGCCTTCTATTCAAGCGTCTTGGTTAAATATCGTGCAGAAAAGGTAAACAGTTGGCTCGGCTGCCGGTGCTGGGTAGGGAGGAGCATGGAGGAGCTGTGGGTTGGTGTCCAGGCTGAGTGCTTGCGCACACAGTTGGCGTGGGCAAACGCAACACTTGTGTGCCGGGTTCCCCGACTGCACGTTGTGTTTGTTTGCTGCCAAAACGGGGTGGCCCAGAGGCAGTGAGGGGACAGCCCCACCACGTGCAGACATGAGCGCATTCGCTCTCCTCTCAGCTTCTTTTGACTGAAGGAACCTCGAGAGAAAATGCAGTGCTTTGCAGCAGTCAGAGCTGTCAGGGGAAAGGGCTCAGAGTCTAATAAGAGGACCAAGATGCTCATCTTCTGCATTTATCCACAGCTATAGGTTGTAAAAACTCTAGGCAGCTGAGCTGTCATAAACCCTTGCCTGTAACAAATATTGCATCATCATTAGTAAATCTTGGAGACAATGCAAAAATCTTGTCTGCAGACATTCAGGTGAACAAGACATTGCTTCCCCAGCTTTTTTAGCAAAACCAGCTAGAAAAAAAAGCAAGAACATTGGGAAAAAAGAAACTCCCTTTAGAAGGAAGCCTGAATAATTGTCTTTGTATTCATCCATCTCAATTCCACACCTCCCTAGGAGTGGCTGCAGTGAGCTAATTGGTTTTACTCTGCTGTGCGTGGCTTCACCACCCAGCCTCCAGATTTATTGCACCAAGTCAAGCCATTGTGTGAATTCATCATTTGTCCCCCCCACATCAATCCCTTTCTCCTCCAGAGTGGTATTTGTCTGCATGTTTATATGCTGTCAGGTACTGAGTGAGACGAAAGACAATCTCTAGGATTGACTAATTTTTGGTATAATCTGATGCAACCTGAAAATCAGAATGAATTATTACCTTTTCAGCAAGACATGACTTCACACAGGCCAGCTGCAGAGAAATGAGAGAAGGACTTTGGCCAGCACAGGCTTTTATGGGAGGGGAAGAAAAAAGACCCTGCGGAATTTAAGGATTTAAGAACATGCCAAGTTCAGAACAAAACCTTATCTGAGAAGGGAAGCTGAGTGTGTAACAATCAGCCATAGAAATCCTTGTGAATGGTCTTTAAAAAGGCACTCTGGAAATTAAGGACTTCAAATGCAACAATTGAAAGCGAAGCTAAATGAAATACCGGGGAGTATGAGTAAATGCTACAAGTATAGGTCAAGTACTGCTTTATCAGTCTTGTGTTTACTCCAGCAGCTTCTCCGTTGCCCGTTGTTTTACCTTGTTTGAATAGATATGCTTGTCTTTATTTGAAAATCAATTGTAATGTTATGAAAGAGAGCTTACAGCACAGGGAATGCTGGAAAGCAGCGTAGTGAAAGATGGCATTGTTCATTATCCTAAATTACTCCAAGGGAGGGAGGGAATGACATTAAAGAAGTGTGGGTAGCTTTGATCTGCCATCCTTCCTTTAGCAGATGTAATTTAATGTCATTACTTAATTTTATTAAAGGTAAAGACAATTGTGGACAATAGCTATTACAACATTTACTTATAATAATGATAGTGGGGGAGTGTTAGAAGGAGGAGAGACAGGCTCCAATTTGGTTTCCCAGTAGCTGCTCATCTGTAGCTGATGAAAATTCTTCTATTTTCGTGGTACATCTGTCCAAGATCTGCTTCTTAATCTGAGTAGCTTTGGATGGCTACTTCGATTCCAGTGGAGGTACTCTGTTCTCATCAGAAAAATATTTGGCTTTATAAGCATAATAGACAATATCCACCCTCATCGCTATGTATGATTGATCATTCCCTAAATATATGTAATAGATATTAGCAACAACTGTAGGAACTCCTGGTTTGATCAGTATATGCCAAGCATTGTGGGGTTTACCCTGGTGAAAAAGCTTTATAGACTGTTGCGATCTTCCTCCAAGCTTTATACTGAGATGCACTTGTGTATTTATAATTTTTAATATACCTCATATTTTTTTAAAATGTCTTGTAGTAAACTTTATTGCTGCAGGCTGAAAACACATGTTGTGATTACTTTTACAACTGTAAAATCTGTAGGCGATTGTGTGGGATTCTTTCCGTGTAGCCCAAACTCATTGGCAGCACCTGGGTTATGATCTGCTAAAGGTCTTCAGCAGCCTGTAGGACCAGACCCCTTAAATGTCTTAACTGCAGCCAGTGGCTTGCTCATGATGAGTTAATTCTGTTTAGTTCTGCAAGGCATGAGCCTGGTTGTAACGGGCGAAAAACTGGTCCTAGGTCAAAGCTTTGAGATGGCTGCACAAAGCACTTAACTCCTTTGAAATGACAACGCGATACCTTGACGTTAGCGGTGCAGCCGCTTCTTGAAAGAGGCTGGGGGCTCGTTAGCTTGTCACTGCTGGCGTGCCATTCAACATTAATTTAGTGTAATGGGCGATAACTAGTGTGGATTTAGTAAGAGAAGATCCTGCTTAACTAATCTCCTTGAGTTCTTTTGAGCAGGTTTCAGACAAGGTTGCTAATAAGAGTGTACATATGACATAATCTAATGGATTTTTCAAGAGGCTTTTGATAAATTTCCATATGATATTCCCTCTGCTTAAGCTGTGTGCCGCAGAGATTCCAAATAGGGCAAGAGAATGGGTAATAAAAATGAGTAAAATCATGGGAAATAAAGAGAAAAGAAGAGCTGTGGCAGGTACTGGAACTATCCCACAGCTTCCCACTGTTCTTCCCCACCACTCAGCATGGCTGGAAAAAGATGCCATCTGCATTCGCTAATGAAAACTTGTTTAGGACAGGTGCATAACAACAAAGAGGGAAAGACGCCATTCAGGGCACCTCTAAAGGACAAATTTAAATTTACGTTAGCATAGGGCAGATTGAATATTTTTGATGTCAGTGATGGAAAAAATATATATATAAGCACATGCAAGTGACAGACTCCGGTGGATGGATATGGGTTGGAAGTGGAAGGGGACTCTTGTGCTAACGAAGGAATGATTTACTATCATTTACAAAACCTGACATTTGGGCACACCAAAGGCCAGATTTTCAGAAGTGCTCGACTCCTGCAGTGTGGGGCCAGGGTTTCAGTTGCAGACTCAGAGCCAGCCGTTCACATCGTTTCCCCAGTGTTTAATTTGCCATATGTCAATCAGAGGGTTGATTTGCAAATGCTGCTAATAGACGATGCTGAGAGATGAGGACAGTTGAAAATTTGGGAGTGTGTCTTACTGGCAGCTTTTGAGCCCCAAACACTGGAAGCATTCACAGACCAGGATCCCTGACCAGCCGTATGATAAATTGAGGACTGGAAAGCAGAAAAGAATGCAGCTAATGCATCAGGATATCACTGAATGGGACATAGTCCATGAAAATCAGTGCTAAATGAGAGAATTAAGCACCAGGAAAGGCTGTGACAAAATCACAAGAAACACTTTAAATAACGAGACAAAATCAAGGGCAAGAAGGAAAGAAAGTGAAGTAAAATCACTGAAGAAGCAGTAAAATGCCATCACTGAAATCTGAGTGAGGCAATATACCTCAGATTAAAGTGACGCAGTCATCCTAAAAAATGCACATCTTAGTCTGCCGTTTTTACCCGCTGTTGACAATTAACTGTCTGATTGCTGTAACTGAACGAGAATATCAAGAACATTTTTTGTTTACTTCCAGCATTTGCTGAAGCTTGGGCAGCAGCTGGGTGTTAGCAGATTTGTTCTTCTTTGGGCTGAGAGGTGTAACTTGGCTTTGAAAGGTTTGGAAAAATATTCAAAGAAAAAAATAGGAAAACCAGAAGTGAGAAAGGGTTACGTTGCTCATGACATATAAATCTGTGGTCCTCTTCAGGGGACTGGTTTCCTGGTCAGCAGGCTGATAGAGGGGAGCGGGGAGGTAGCAGTGAGGACCGACAGAAAGCTCCTACCATGACCGCTCCTGTCTTTTCTTTGCAGTATTCAGGAGAGGTTCCTGAGAACAGAGTGGAGGTTGTGGTGGCCAATCTGACCGTGATGGACCGGGATCAGCCTCACTCCCCGAACTGGAATGCCATCTACCGCATCATCAGCGGAGACCCCTCCGGCCACTTCACCATCCGGACAGACCCCGTCACCAATGAGGGCATGGTAACCGTCGTGAAGGTGAGGGGGAAGCCAAAACAAATCCGTACCTGTCACCCTTTCAGCTAGCTAAGGATCGCCAGAAGCCTCGCAGTTATTTTGTGCCTTGACTCCCCAGGAATACAAGTGCTCAAATCTGTTATCTGCCTCTTAATGCAAAAAACCTAAATACTTTTACTTCAAGCACGTTGTGCCAATGGTTCTGATTTTCCCACCTCAGCCCAGCCCACTCTGAGCTTTCATCAGCTCTCACGTGCTGATGGCTCTTCGCAGCATCCAAGTCTGACCTACGTGTTCTGCTCCTCCTTAGCTTTTTTGGGGCTTGGGCAGTGCTGGCAGGTTTGGGGGCAGATGCTGCACCTTCTCCTTTTTTGAGCCAGAAAACTCCCCATTAGCTGTGAATCAGGGGTGGCATTTCACTGCAGGGGATCAGCCAAATGATCCTCTATGAAAGCAGGGGGTGCAGGAGAGATTTCAGGAGGAGTAAATTTCCTTGGTGAGAAGGAAATGAGAGATTTTCCTCTGAGTTGCTTGGCAGAAAAAAAAGTTGGAGACATTTTCCTTTTCCTAGCATCAAGCAGTGAACATACAGTGTGTGACAGATACTCTGAATAACTCCACAAATGAAAGCCACTCCCCAGGTCAGATCAGCAAAGGATCGTATCCAAAGACTCTGAGAAATAAGACTGTAAATCTCCACCGTCCCTTCTTTCCTCCATCCTTTGCCTTCAGCATTAGGAGAGCTGGAATCCTCAAAGTATCTGCAGCAAGTATCAAATCCTGTTTCCCTCCTTGGTTCCAAAGAACACGGCTTTATCTTAATTTCAGCATTCGCTTCCCTTTCATTTACTGAGGCCAGCAGCCCAGGCAGTGAATGCTTCTGCAGTCGTTACACATAGTCAGAACATAACTGGATCCGTTGAGCATTCGTTGAGACTCTTCCCAGATAAGATGCCTGTGGATGCTCCCCCGCCTACCAAAAAAATGCAGGCGTCACAGATAGGCTGCTGTGATCTGTAGGGGCTCGCACGACGCACGCTGTGCACCACACCTGAAAGCGATAACGCGTGCTGTGAAGGACGAAAACCTGCATCTTCTGATAAGCGTGGCCTTCTCGTAACAAAAAGTTTTAATTAACAACTTAGGAGGAAACAGTTTCAAGAGCAACGTAATTTAAGAATAGCTCTGTGTTGGAAAAAAGAGCCCCGCTCCCTGGTAGCTAATAATTTGCAGTCATTCTTAATACATACAGTTTGGGTATTAGGAAAAATGACATCAGTGAAATGCCAATGAGGTTACACTGGTAGGAACGTGTGAGCTTGTGAGCCTGTCCTGTTCTCTGAGCCTTAGGCTGTATGTGTGTGTGACTGCAGATGCCACTTTGCTGAAACTTTAAGGGAGACATCATCTTACCTGCTAGATGGTATTTCAGCAGGGCCTTTTTATTTATCACTCTTTATTGCTCTGTAATGACGGTTGACAGCCTTATCTGGTGCAACGCTACGAAACTTCTTCAAGCTTAGCAGTAGTTCCAGACACGTGTATATGGATGCATATATGCATATGTATGTATTTTCTGCTTAGAGAACATTCAACAAAGTAAAATGCAGCAATTTAACTTCCATTGACATCAGCAGCCAGTCTGAAATGGAAATGCCAATGTTTTCACCGCAAGTAGGAGAGGACACCTTATTCTTAAGTGTCAGGGCTGTAGTTTTAAAGGCACATCAAAGTGGGCAACCGGGGGTTTGCGTGATCATCGCTCCTCCACAAGGACTTCTGCACGATGAACCACCATCCCTTACTCAGAACTTGCTGGAAAAACCTTTGCAGATTTGTCAAGACGCCATTGATGCTGGTGTTGACTTTCCACTGCTGTGTAACCCACAGTGATCACAATGCAAAGAACCACATGGAAATTCTATCTTGGCAAGCTGAGCTCAAAGCTTGAAATTGCATTGAACATCTTCACTACACAAAGTCACCTGGTCCTCCTGGGCGCTCAGAGTTTCTTACCCTTCTCAAACCAGGAGGCTTTTTGGTGTGTTTTCAGCAAGGAGAATGAGTGAAATTGCTTGTGATTAAATTTTCATGGTGAAGAAGGGAAGACTCTTAGTATTCCACCTTCTTCTTTGAAATATTTTGTTCTCTGTTAATAAGTGAATATGCTTAAAGGTTTGGAGAATGCATGCATGTCAGACTGGGTGGCAGCTCAGAGCTTGTCCTTCATGGTGTGGGAGCAGTCTCCTGCTGGTTTCATCCCTGATAGAGATTGAAAACACAGGTGAAGAATTAAGTCAAGTAATGAACCTTTTATTTACAGACCCTACATGGCTGGATTTTCATGTGGCTCTTTTAAGCTGATTATACGTAACTCCCCACTGCTGCAGGCAAAGGGGTTTCATCTGCGCTAGGGCAGTCACATCAGTGGCACAGGGAAGGGTGTTCTGTGAAGAACCGCAGCCCTCCACAAGCAGTTTAGGGGCCAGAGATGTTTCCAAAGGAGGAAGCCTTTTGGAGTTCAGATGACGCTCATGCGGGCCATTTTCCAGTCGCTGTCGGCAAAACCCCATCTGCAGCTCCAGCCCAGTCACCAAAAGTGCAGCATTTCTTTTCTTTTGTTCATGCCTTTCCAAACTAAAGAAAGCCTTGATCGAGAAGAAACTTCCCACTCAGATGAGACACCGCAGAGTCTGGAGACAGTCTCCAAGAGCAGCAGTCCCTGTGGGACCTGGCTAAGTAAAATGTTATTATAAACTCTGCATGGATCAGAGCTGTGAACTTATAATGGAGATGCTTCCAAAGCTTCTATTATTGTTTGCCTCAAGAATAACATAAGAAAATATGTTTTCTTCATTTAAAAGTACCTTGAGAAAATGGGGGCACATGGCAAGCCCTCGGCTGCGTCCAGGTGGGAGAGGGTAGGGAAGGAGGATGTGCAGCATCTCCAAGGGGATGTTTCAGAGCTCTTTGCACCAGATCAGGCACTGAACTTCCAACAGGGAGTATCTGCAAAGATGCTCCTTTTTAATTTCATGTCATGTACTTTTTGGACATTAGAAAGTCCAGCACCACCTTGTCCCAGATGTAGCAACTCCACGTGCTTTTGCTCTCACTGTTGGCCTGATCAATAGGTAGCACTTCAGTGAGACGCGTGGAGGTGGAAGGGATCAGTGCAGTGCGAAGGACGCGGTGTGCTCTGTGCACCTGCCCGCAGAGGGAGGCTGTTTCAGGGAGCAGAAGTCCTGTCAGAAACTGCTTATTATGGTGTGAAAGAAGTTCTACTTAGGGCAGGACTACATGTGGCTGCAAGGGACTCCTGTCCCACCAGGGACAATAGCACAACCACTGCCTTGAAGGCATGGACTCTTGATTTTACATTTTTTTTTTTGTTTTTTCTAACAAAATGTGTGAAATGGGACTCAGATGGGCACAGAAGAGAAGGAGGCAGCTGGTCTCTCTCTTGCAAACCGAAGCGTGGTGAGCAGTGTCACCGTAAGCCAGCATGTGGTGCTGATGCCTCCAGGACCATCCATGGGGTGGGTGTTACTGGGTGACCCTGGTCGCACCCTGCTGCTCTTCTGGTTTTCTTGCTCCCAGAAGAGAGGGCAAGAAGCAGAGTGAGCAGCTCTATGTTTTTTAGAGGGAGGAAACCCCCTCACTTGCATCAGGCCACATCCTAGCAGAGAGGTGTTTGCTCAGTGTGTCCTTGAGCATCGGCAGGCAGGGAGAGTCCAGTTTTTTTCCCCATCAGTTCCCACTAGAGCTGCTCAGATTGCGCCCCCCAGCTCTGTCTGAGCTCCCGCAGGGAGGGAGGTGCAAACTGGCTGTGGGTAAGGTGAGCAAATAGGACACACACTAAAAAAAGGAAAAAAAACACAAAGGAAAAAAAATATAAAAAAGAAAACTGGAGGAATGTAAATTAGAGGGGTGTGAAAAGAAATTGAGGAAGTGCATTAGTCAAATTGTTTCAAGGCCTTGAACAGTGTTTAAATGGGAACTTTCACCATGCATCTCTTTTGAATGCGGTACAAGTCCGTGAGTCAGTGCTGGTGGGTGTACTGGGAATCTTTATGCCTCCTTTTATTTATTAAATGTTGGCCCTGCCTGTCAGGAAACCGTTTAGCAATAAGAACATTTGCACTTCAATCGAATAGAGATTCCACTGTTTTACCTTTTGCCCCTGAAATTTGTTTCTCTCGTGTAGCCTCCTATGATTTGATTTCTCTCCTGACAATACTGGGTTTTAAACAGAACATGCAAGCCAGATCTTGCTGATGTAAATCAGTACAGCTCCACCGAAGTCAGTGTAACCGTGGCATTTTACACCGTGCCATTACGCTTTGCAGACTCAGTGCTGGAGAAGGTGTTAGGGAGAATGGTTATGCTTCTAAATTTACAAATTATGGCAAAGCATTTTTTAACAAGCAGAGGTGTGATCCTGCATAACTCAAGCCTCCCTGGCAGATGATTAGTGACTTCCCTCATAATAATTAGTGTGATGGTTTAGAAATTGCTGTTATACTGCAGTTCAGTCAATTGCGCCAGCAAAGGCTTTTCACTCCTTCTTGACTCCTGAGACGCATCGTCCTTATGTGCCTATTGAAAAGAGGTCTGTGGCCACCCAACAGCAGAACGTATCCGTAGGAGCATGTGGGCAACCTCAGGAGATCATGAGGTGAATTGTAAGAAGACGAGAGGTCCCCCTGGAAGGAGCGCCTGATTAACCGGACCAGGCGTTCTTTCTTGCAGCTACACCTTTGCTTATAAACTCACTTAAGAGGAGAAATGAAGAGCACTTCAGGCTCCTGAGTCCTCATAGGCTGTCCCAGTCACTTAGTCAGCAGCTTTAAATGCTAATAGCGCTGTGAAGTACCTGCCCAGTCCCTCTTAACAGGCTCTGCCTGTTGTATTTTGAGCAACCTTTGGTGGATTTGTTAATTCAATGCTCAGCTAACACAAGCAGGTTCTTTTTTGGATTGAGGCACAAGGCAAATCTGCCCTGCTGTTTGCAGTTTTTAGGTTTGTGTGGTTTTTTAACTATTTGACCCTCCAAATACTGGAAGGCCGAATCTTTCATTGGACTGAAGCTGGTGTGGCTTTACACCTTCAAAAGAACTGAGTTCAAGAGGAAACAAGATGAGGCAATGACTTTGATATCATCTACCTTCTAAATCTTGTGGCTTTCAGCCAGAAGGTAGATTTTATTCTCTGCCTGGCTCTACACTTGCTTGTTTGTTTGTTTTAGGCAGTCGATTACGAGATGAATAGAGCTTTCATGCTGACAGTGATGGTATCAAACCAAGCTCCCCTGGCCAGTGGCATCCAGATGTCCTTCCAGTCGACAGCTGGCGTCACCATTTCAGTCACAGATGTCAACGAGGCGCCGTATTTCCCAACGAACCACAAGTTAATCAGGCTGGAGGAAGGGGTGCCTACGGGGACAGTCCTGACAACATTTTCGGCGGTGGATCCTGATCGCTTCATGCAGCAAGCCGTAAGGTGGGAGACCAGGCAGCCAAGTGAGCTCCTGCACAGGTGGGGCATTTCAGCTGCAGAAGTTTGGGGAGCAAAGCAGCCGAAAGCTAATTTACAAACTAACTGATGCGATATGAGTAAAATGCTTGGCAGAGCCTTGCACCCTCAACCAAGTGCCCATAGAGTATCCTGCAAGCCTGTAAGTTGCCGATCTGCCCCGCTTCAAGTAAACCAGACTCTGAGCAGCTGGGTCTGGGAGGGCAGAGTTGGATCCCGTGTTACTGGCGTGCAGAGGGACAGGTCACAGCTCCAAACACCAGCAGTCGATAGCGAGGTGTCCCTGCGTTAGTACAAAGACAAAGGTCAGGGCTGCATTGTACCAAGTGTTTTGTCTCTGCCTTGTCAAGGATGCTTTGACCTGTGTTGTTTGTGCGCTTTATAAACACAGAGTTTTAGAAAAAGGCAACTTTGTTATTTCTGTCTTACAGGGGGAAAGCTAAGACGCAGAAAGGACTAGAGCTAGACTTCTGAAGGGGATGACTGGGATTTTTAATCATGTCTTGTGTTGCTTCCAGAGGATTGAGGTTCAGCCTTGCTTAAAAAGCACGATGTGAGAGGAGCGTCAGTCCGTTCAGAGCATGGCTCGCTTGGTCACAAACAGCTGCTGAACGGGCGTTTAAAATGTCACATAGTTCAATATTGCCCAAGCAGTCAAACACCCGTTCATGTGCCATTGGCACTTGGTCTTTATCTGACTAATGCCAGTCCATAAGAAGCACCCAGCAGCCCTTGCCTGCTCTGCAGTCAACAAGATTTGTGCTGACCTTCCCTTTGCCTTCAGACCAACTGCCAAGCCTAACCTCCTCGGTAGCTGCTTTCCTTATGAGTGGGATTCAGCTGACACAATTTTAGCCTTCTGGAAGTCAGATGTTTGATCTAGGCAGTTTAATATCAGGTTTAGCCCATGCTGCAATCAGGAAGGTGTCAATCCTTGCGTTTTGTCCCACCTAGGCAGACTAGGGGCTGAATCCTCAGTCCAGGACCCCAACTCACCCACTTGCCCACCAGGAAATGCATTGGCAGAAAAGCGTAAGTGAAAATGAGAGTCCTTGTGACACTTTTTTACAAGTATTTCAGCCTCCGTCTGTGCAGACAGGAAATGTTTCCTGCTCTTGGATACTTGTACATCCATACAAGTTTGTTTCTTTTTTACTCCCAGTTGGCAAGGACTGCAGTATTTTTAGCAAAACCTGAGTGTACGATGTGACCACAGCTGAGGCCACTTAAACTTACATCAGTTGTGACATTTCACGTCGGGAAGAGTTTGAAATATTTCACCTGGCACAGAGCTGTCTGGTCTAGAAAATGATAGTTTATTCACTGCCTCATCTTGTTGTCTTTAGACAGGTATTGTAACTTGAAGAGAGAGACCATCCTAACTAACAAGCCAGTTTTTCTTATATTCTTTTTGAAATATTGGCCTTTGAAGGGTCTTTATTTCCCTGATGTCTGTACGGAGGCTGGTTTTCAGAGGAGAGAACAGCTCCTTTCTGATGGAATACTCACTCTTACCCGGAGGTGGATGATCTGTAATCCAAACGAGCATTTGCTGTTTCTGGGGGAAGGACTGGCTCTGCTGAGCCGTCCCTGCCATCGCCCAGTGCATGTGCAGGCTCTTGTAGGACTTTATAAGAATGTGAACAGCCAATTACTTGAGTTGTTTTTCTCCGGGGGCTTCCAGGACACACATTTTGTGTATCCACCTTGTTTGCAAGCCCAAGTACAATCTTTCTTACCCCCTTTTCATGAGGGCAGCCCAATGCCAAGGCTTTGCAGGAAGCAGTGGTGTGTTGTTCGAGTCCTGTCTTTGTGAGCTATGCAAAGGATATTCTGTTTTTTACTTCACTGTTGGCATTAGTGAGTTAGGAAAAAAGGTGACTGAAAAGCTTAGCCTACAGATCCACGATAAGCACTTGGCAGAGAGCTTATCCAGCTGCTAGAGCCTTGCATGCAGTTTTCAGCCTCTCCCTAAACAGTCGTTGGTAAAATAGAGATTTTACAAATACAAGATGAGGAAGTATGAGCAACTCCAGTAAGGAACAGCTTGGCATGACCAATGTCACACCTCAAGTTATCCTCATTAGCCACAGACACATTCACAAAGCCAGCTTTGAAACTGGATCCCTGGTCATTTAGCAGAGAAAGGGCAGGAGACTCACAGCAGTGATATTAAAAAGAAATGAAAGCATCCCAAAGAGTCTAGCTCCATGAAATGTAATTCTTTCCTTTGGCAGGGGCTTGTGCAGCTGTGTGTTGGTTTCCTGCTCACATGGATTGACACAGCTCAAGTTTCACTTTGAGTTTCAGCTTCAAACAGCCCATTTCTGGAAAGGGATATTCACCAAAAGCCAGAAGTTCTCTCGCCTGCATATCTAACTACAAAAAAAAATATAAAACTATCAGCGGTTCCGAGTTACCCATGAAATAAGCTTAGTTTTTGTTTGTTTAGTTCAGTAATTTATAGTATGGCCATTTATTAGTTTTAAACTGGCCACTCCAGTTCAGTTAATAAGTCCATCTCAACTCAGACTGTACAAGACTGAGAGGCAGAAATCAAAAGCAGCAAATAGAATCAGGAAAACAAGCAACTGAGAAAGATAAACAGAGCACATTGATCTGGAGAACATAGAAGACGTTTACCCAGAACAAACCACGTTCATAGCTGGCTGCGTAGGACATGAACAGACGTGGGCTCTGAGTTGACTGAGCAGTTGGGAGTCTGCCGTTGGGTCCTTCCAGCGCAGGGCACGCTGGGGACTACCAAGGGGACTTCCCTGTCACTGCTCTCTCAGAACCTCCCACATGCATGTGATCATCTGATCTGCTGTTTCAGGATCATAGAAAAATCTTTCAAGAGAGCAGACCTGAAACTGCTTCACCCTTGGGTCCACACCTTACTATAGCTGTAGGTTCCTATTGTAGTGTTTACTAGTGATGGGCAGAAAACAGGAATATCCGTGGCTTTAGAGCAAGAGCTGTTTTTAGGAAGGGCAATGTTAAGGAGAGGGCGGGAATCCATCCTCTAATTCAGGCATACGAATGCCGTGGTCATTGCAGAGACCTCGGGCTGTGTCCGCTCCCAGGAGCAGGAAGCTGGCATGTAAGTGATACTTGGTGCAAAGGAAGACCTCTGAAAGTAAAGAAATGGAAAAATTGAATAATTGTAGAGGTCAAAAACCAGATGCTCAATTAGCGTTTTGTTTGTCCTCAAAACCAGTTATCCAGAGGTCCTTTGAATCATAGGTCAGGAGTCCAGAAAAACCTTATTTCAAGCAATATTAAGGATATGCCAGTGAGAAGACTGCCATGTATTTATTTCCTTTCTCTGTAGATACTCTAAGCTGTCAGATCCTGCAAACTGGCTGAACATTAATGCCACAAATGGTCAGATCACTACTGCTGCTGTCCTTGATCGAGAGTCAGACTACATTAAGAATAATGTCTACGAGGCCACATTCTTGGCGGCTGACAACGGTGAGCCCAGGCTTCACATTGTTCATGCTTCAATAAGACTCTAATGTGATGCATTAAGAGAAATGATGCCCTGACAGAGTTGTCAGTATAAGTTATCTTTTTCCCAGGTTTTTATGGTCAAAAATGTGAAAGTGGGACGGGAAATTGCTGGAGTAAATTAAATGTGCACAGTGTACGGAGGGTGTTATTAAGGGAAAGGGAGGGCAAATGGAAAATCGATTTGGGGAGTTCAATGTAGCGGTGTAGCCTGAACTTAAAAAAATATCCAAGGCATGTGCTCTCCAGGGGCTGACGAGCACCCTGGTCCCGTCCCAAAGGCAGTGGTCGGAGCATTCAGGAAGCCTCCCATCGGGAAACCAGAAATAAATTTAAGGAATGGCAGGAGGGTATTAAAAATAAAGCAACCCATTGAACTGCTGTGGCTTTCATGGGAGGTGTCTGCCTTGCCATCAGAGCCGCTCTCTCTCTGTCTGCCACCATTCCTGGAATGTCCAGCCATCATCAGAGCGCCTCGATGCTGGTGGACTTTATTATCAAAGTGACTGAGGCCGGTACAGATCTTCTCGCGGGGAGGTCCTGTTAGGGCTCTCTGCTCATTAAAGATCACACGGTGCTTTTGCTCAGATTAGCACTGTGAGCCTCAGCACCAGTCTTACTCAAAGGCAAGTGATCCATTGCTGCTGCCCTGGATTTCTCTTCCTAATTCTGATCCGGAGGAGTTGATGACTTCTTTGCTAATGATACCTAAAGGTGGCCATGGAGTTATTTCATTCGTCAGTCCCTCCAGCTGGAAAAGGCTCTGTGGAGGACTCAGTAGCTTCCCTGGGCAAGCAGAGGGTCTTCCTCCCCCTCTCCCACCCTCACCTTCCCCTTGCAAGGTGCTGAACTCTCACATCAAACCGAAGCCATGCTTCAGCAACAAAATTAAGTCTAGATTTGGTTGTGAGCACCAAAGTATATTGCTCATACTCTGTAGGTGCTTTCAGGACAGTATTTGTGTTAGTTCTTGCCATCCCTGGGGCTGAAGGGTGCCGTTGTCCATTTTGAGGAGATATAATGGTGCTTGGAGGGCTGATGAAGACTTTTCCCTTTGGGGTTTCAGGATTCACTTCAGTTGTTGCCTCCTGGCTCACAGGGACAAGGCAAACTTATTGGAGGGTCTCAGTGCAGTGTAGCAGTACTAAGAAGCATATTTTGCCCTTTCTTCATGACACGAGTGGTAGGACTTTTATGGTCCCACAGCCCCGTTCTAAGCTTTCCCTCTGTGAAAGCACTCAGAGCACTGAAATTCAAGATGGTCTCAAGGGGATCTAGCAGCGTTCATCTGCAGGACAAAACAGGTCAAATGAGTTGGCCAAGGCTATTCAAAAAAAGCAGTGGTAGAGCTTGAACCCATCAAACTAATCCTCACCATCTGACCTTGCAAATGCCAGGCACTTAGAGCAACGTGATTTGGCGTTAACCCCTTTCCCTGGCTTCAGCGCTGATGCTGCAGCACATCAGTGCCTCCACATCCATCATTCAGCAGCTCAGAAAGTGAGGACCTAGATAAATCTCTTTATTCTGAAAAATTAATCTATCACGGGTCTATTGCAGCCATTAAAATGCACATAAAGCAACACCTTATTTAAAATTCTGTCTAGAGTGCTTAGGATAACAGCTGAAGTTTCATCTAGGCTAATAGACTCTTTCCGAATCTATCCCAAGTTCCAGGTTCTCCAGCATCATGTTCTCATCAAAGAAAGGCTTTGGGTCAGGGGTTTTGGGGGGGATTTTTCCTTCTTTCGTGAAGAAGCAACAGCATCTTGTTTCCTTGAAGTTCTTTAGGAAAAAGTGTGTGATAAAGAAGAAGTTCAGCCAAATACCCCTTAGACATGCTGTTTCTCGCCCTGGGCTACAGCACAGAGCTACTCACTTTAAGAAAAGTCTTGGCTGCAATGTGAGGGAAGGAAAAGGGGAATCCTAACCAGCAGCGTATTTTTAGCCTGGTTTCTCAGGAGAGAGGGGCTCTTGGATCACGCTGTGTCTACACATGTGGAGCCTGGCGGTGTTTGAACCCTTCAACCCATTTCAGCCAATTTCACAAGGAAGCTGAAACCTCAGATATATCATGTTCCAACGGGTTTCATAAAACAGGGAGCTGAGCTGGGGACAGAGACACTGTAACTGAAGGGAGCAGGGTCCTGCCCCCTCCTCAACAGAGGAACAGCATGAGAACTCACCTTTGGGGCCCAGTCCTGTAGGAAACTAGGCTGCCCTAGTGACCCTGCATACAGGTTCCTGCTTTTCTGTAGGCACACAATGACAAGAAGATGCCACAGGCATGGTTCACTTCATTTCTGCCATGATTTGTCGGCACAGTGGCCCAAGCTATTTAGAAATTTTTGCACAAGCAGAGTGGCAGTGACTTCTGCTTGTGGCTGAACGTGAAAGCCAGTTGGCTTGTCCCTTGCTCCAGGAGCAGTGACACTGGCCCTGAGAAAAAGGAGGAACACAACAGTTAAATGTATATGTAGCAGCTGCATCTCTCCCTCTTTTGAAATACTGTCATTAGTCTTTTAATTTCAGGGAGTTGGTGCTATGGTAGTCCTCATCTCTTGAGCATGAAGTCCTAAGTTCTTTTGTTAATACATCACTACCTGCTCTATCCACGTCCTTGCTCTTCTTCACATAAAACAGCTGAAATAATTTCAAGTGTTCCGTGGTTTGTAGTACTTGGACGTTTAAAAAACTGTTTACTTTTCATTTCTCCCAACACTGCCCTAGAACTGCACTCAGGAGCACAAAGAACCAGAAATACCGGGAGCCAGAGCCCAACAATACCCAACAGCCCTACAAAATTGCATTTGTATGTGCAGCAATTGCAGGTTATTTCTGCCACGTGCCAGTTAGTCTCTCTCAGAACTGCTAGTTTACATTCAGTCTGTCCCGAAGGTTAGAGCGTGGGCCTTGCCTTCATCCCAGAAGATGCTCTAGATAACGTGAAAACAGGGAAATCACTTTGCTTGGTCCCAAAAGTCAGTTTTTGTGTTCAGCCCTAGTATCCTGGTGGGCTATCTCTCCCTCCGGAAACTTTCAAGGCTGATCAAAGACATTGTTTTAGAGGGAGACCTACCCCCTGCTTACTAGATGAAAGGATGAGATCGATGATTGAAGAGCTTATGTAGGAACCATGAAAGAAGGATTTTCAGGGCTTCTTCAGAGTTTTCAAGGCTCCCTTGGAAAATGGAGCAGAAATGAGAAAGGAATGTGGGAAGGAAAGTCCGTGGAAGCCAAAGCAACATTTGAAAGCCTGATGGGAAAGTGGATCGTGTAGCTTTATATCCAACACTGGGAGGAAGAGCCAGGACTGAAAATACAAACTTAGAATTGTTGAAGCAACGCTGCCTGAGAAGGGAGGCATTAGGCAGGCCAACACGGAGCTGCCAGATGCGTGTGTGGGGAAAGAGATTAAAAATACTGTGCCATTTCTGGGCAGGTATTACTTGATGTAAGTGGTCATTAGTCAGACAGATGGGACTCTTCATCAGTGAGGGGCTGGAGGACCAAGACTGCTGTGCTGCAGCATCCCTGCTGTTGGGACAAATGCAGAGAGGATGGAGAACTGTGTCTTGGGACTTTCTGCTGCCATGAGTTAGCAGCATCACCCACTGTGTTGGGTGACACTTAGCTCATACCATAAGCTTTGAGCAAGGTCCTTTCACCCCTAAAGCTAGGACTGACTGGGATAGGCTGGAGAGTTGGGCTTTCTTTGAAGTGATGTAACAATCTGCAAATCTAAAAACTGGTTATCAAGTGCTACAGTAAATGCTGACCAAAGGATTATACTATTTACTTCTTTTTTTTTTTCCACTCCAAGCTGTCTTATGCCTCCTGTTAGCTATCCTTCTGATGACTTTTCCTCTTCAGAACAACCATTACCAAAATTTGCGCTAGCAGCTGGGCATCACTTCCCTGGCTTTTTAGAATTTAACCAAGGACATTGCTGTAGGCCACCAATCTGCAGAACTCAACCTCCACATTCTGCAGGAGCAAAAACCAGCAACATTAGGAGGTTTGGGGAAGTTTTAATAATGCCTCCTAAAGCCAGGGACCATGAAAGTGCGGTATGTCCCTAATAAGATCCAAGGAGGGAGGGTGAAATTGAAATTAGAAGGCAGAGAGGGGGCTGCTCCACAGTGCTGTCATTCCCACTGCTTCCTGAGTGATGGTCATCGGTCCATGCTGGGCTCTGCCTCTCCCTTTCAGGTATACCCCCCGCGAGCGGCACCGGCACTCTGCAGATCTACCTAATCGATATCAACGATAACGCTCCTGAGCTCCTGCCAAAGGAGGCACAGATCTGTGAAAAGCCAAACCTGAATGTCATCAACATAACAGCCGCGGATGCTGACATCGATCCGAACGTTGGGCCCTTTGTCTTCGAGCTGCCAAGTGTGCCATCTGCAGTGAGGAAGAACTGGACCATAACACGGCTGAATGGTAAATGGGGCAGGCAATCCTGAGGACATTTGGACTCTGATTCACTAATGAGGCCACGTGCGGTTTCAAACTTCCAAACTTTCCTACTTTTTTATCTGATTTTTTTATTTTTTAAAGCACATTATGGCTGGCATTATAGACACGATAGTTAATCAGAAATGATTTGTATCAGACCTGCAGCATAACTCTCAGAGCCTTGGCACTTGGCTTTTTTTAATGCAGTTCATAATTATGAACCGTTATCAGTAGTGAACAGAGTATAAATCATCCATAATGGCCAAGGGGAAAAAAGCTATTATCAGTCTTCCTTATGTTCCAGTGTAATTGTCATAAGCCACAATCAGGATCAATGTTCATTTCTCTGACCATAATTGCATAAAGGCAGCCTTTTAATTTACCATGGAACCAGGAGGGCTAGGTAAGTGTGAAGATTACCAGTATGTGAAGGATTTTTTATTGCGTGCAACCACAAATGGCCCTAATTGCTCCTCTTATTGGTAGTTTCAGCAGAGGATGGAAAAAGACCATGGAGCCGTGGGCTGGTTTTAGCTTCAAAGCTTGTCCCTCCCGTTGAGATCTGTCACCATCTGCCAGGGGCAACAACTTGTGCCCTCGCAGCTCGGGACTTGGTCCCACAGCGCTTGTATCGCAGTGGGAGGGAACACGAGAAGGGTTCCCTGGCTGAGCGTGTCATCAGCAGGTAATGGGCTTCCCAAAGATCCCAAGGTGGGAAGGTGGGCGAGCAGAGAGCCTGCACAGTGGCCAGGGCCAGCCCAGACCCCAGGAGCATCATCCGTGCTTTAGTATTTGCATTTTCTGCCCTTTTAAACCCCTGCAACTGGATTTGCAAAGGGCGCCAAGGTAGGTTAGTGCAGCAGTGAGAGCACTCGGTATTTTGTGAAGCACAGGCTGATCGCTGATTGAACTGTGAGGGCAGAAGCCTGAAGCTGTCCTGCTCAGGTCGATAGCCTCCTCTTCAGGACTCAGAAGACTGCTCTGGCAGAGGAGCAAGGCTCTGCCACAGTGTCTGTCATCAGTCTGTCCCTCTGTGTCTCTCCAGGTGACTATGCCCAGCTTAGTTTACGGATCATGTACCTGGAAGCGGGTGTGTACGATGTCCCGATTATTGTGACGGACTCAGGAAACCCTCCCTTGTACAACACCTCTGTCATCAAAGTGAAGGTGTGCCCGTGCGACGAGAACGGCGACTGCACCACCATCGGGGCGGTGGCCGCGGCGGGGCTGGGCACAGGCGCCATCATCGCTATCTTGATCTGCATCATCATCTTACTAAGTGAGTACGGGGGTGGGGCTGACGCTGCTGGGAGGCGTTTCCCATCCCGTTCCCTGCTGCCCCATTCCTCTAGGGGGGATATTTCAAGAGTTGTGAGCTTTGGGCTGCGGGGGGGTGGTTCACACATCAGCAGTCGAGGCTCCTTCACTGCCGTGTCAACAAGAAGAGCTGGAGCACTCTCTGAGCTCATCAGACTGTTCTTTCTAAGACTTTCCGGTACCTTTACAAACATCATTATACCTGACAACGTCTTGTGGGTGGTGATTATGATAGGATTCTCCGCGTTTTGCAGGAAAAAATTGCAGGACTTATCCAAAATCCTGGCTCTCGGGTCCCTGGCTGGCTGTGCATATACTGGTTCCCAGTACCAGGTGCACTGGTTATGAGAGTCTGGCTAGTCCCTGGCAGAGCCAGTGCAAAGCTGTGGTTTTCTGGTTATTCAGAGGAAAAGAAGAATGGTGTTTATTCCCATTGCTGGGAATAATGTCAGCAGGTTGGAGAATCGTGGTGGATTGTGAGTGTTTTCAGAGGAAGGATCCACGGTTTGTCTGGAGCGCTGGAACTGTGTCGCAGGGAAGGACTGGCCATCCCTTTGCTCGAGGCAAAGCCCATGCCTTCTGCCCAGCAACGTTGGTAATCCCAGGCTTTCATGAGCATTATCAATAACCATGTGTGCACACACTTAAAAATAAAAATGATATCATTATAACTTCAAGCAGGAGTTGGCACAGTAGGAATAGATAAAAACGAGCACTGAAATGAACAATGAGGTAAATATTCATCAATAAACACAGGATGAAACCATGGGACTCCCATTAAAGCTAATGGGAGTTATGGTGCTAAATCACACTTAATATTTACCCCCAATGTGTTTAAACAGAGAGCAGACAGAGCGACGTATGCTGCAAATGTCACCTAATGTGGATATGATATGGTTCATTAAGAGATCGGGTCATCACTGGGCAAACATCTACGCTCCTGGGCCAGCGATGGGAATATATTGTTGTAGAATTGATTTCCCATATTGGTCTGGAGGGCGAGTAAGAAACCCGGATGTTTGTGGCTGTGTGCTCCCTGCTGCTCATCCAGCCCACCGGAGCCGGTGGAAGCATCCCCGTGCCGAGCTGCTATGCCCAGTTCCTACCCTTCATTGGATCTGGGCTCCCAGCAGCAAAATGGTTTTAGGCTGCTGTGTTGGGTGTGAATGCGCCGCCGCGGTCATACGTCCAGAAGAAGACGTGGTGTTGGTCAGTCCCACCATGCTGGGTGTGCTGGGACGTGCTGCAGCCTGCGGGCTGAAAGTTTGCCCTGGAAGCCCCAGAGGTGATTAAACACGCGGCTTCTTTTTTGCTGCTCTTGTATAAATCCAGATCCAAAGCATGATTTAAACAGTTGAAAATCCTGTTGGCTGAAATTAACTTCAGCTGAAGGACATTTGATTTAAGAGATTCTTCTTTTCATTTTCAGATACATTATCCCATTTTAAATTATGGGGTTTATTACAAAAGCTTATTTTTACATTCATTGTAATTCTAATTGACTTTTTTTTATCTTCAAGAGCTGCAAAGCACTGTATCACTGATGAAAAATGTAATTTGTGATGAGCAGTTTTCCAGTTACATCCTTCCAGTGTTTTGCCTCCTTTCGCTCTGTTTCATATTGTGACCTCTGAACAGTAGACTGGAAAAGGCAGATGCGTGATTTTTAGTGCTATTTGTCCATTTTAGAGTCAGCAGGTCAGAGTTTGATGGCTTTAAAAGGAAGAAACAGCAAGAGGACAGATCTGAGGTGGCTCAGGTGAAGGAAGTATCTGCCTTTACCTTTGCTCAAAGGGTTTTTCTTCTTCCTGATACCTGATGTATTAGCTGCACAAATAACACATTTAGAAGAGCAATGCAATAAAAAATTGTGAAGGGTGAAGACAATAGATTTCAAGGAAAACTACATGCAGAGCGAAAAAATGGGTCTAACAGCAGTAATAGCACTTCCCATTCTGCCGAGTGAATAAAAGGAAGGAGAGTGCACTACATCCGCTATTGACACTTTGAAGGCATTTATTTTTTTTCAAGGTAGCTGTAAAGGCGTTAATGGCACAGATTTTTCCACAAGTGCATGGAAAAGTAGCATTTTAAAAAAAAAAAAGAGGAAAGAAAAAGATATACCCTGCTAGCCATTATAATATTGTCTTTGTGGACTAGGCAGGTATCTTGTTGTGAGAGACTTGAAAAGGAACAACGAGAAAAGGACTTCAATAGTCTTCTAAATAGCTGAGGTTTTATATTGCAGATAAGCGTTACATTTTCTTTCCTTTTCTTTTTTCTGTCTTGAATAGATCTAGGATAAGCATTAAAGAAATGCTGAACTATCTGAAAACAATTGGTAGCTGGCAGGCAGGGATGGCAGCTGATTGGCACACAATGGCAGTAATTAGCTGTCCGGTCCTCTTCTGCTCACTTCACTGAATTCCTGTTGGGTACAAACACTTTGGTGCTGGGAGGGAAAACTCAGATCCTCCCAACCACCGCCCCGCGCTGTGGGGCTGCAGGCTGGCATGTCCTCAGGGTCTGGTTTCTTCTCCATTCTTGCCCTTCATGAGGCCATCCCGAGGCTCCGTGAATAGGCGAAGGGAAAGAAAAGCCTGCAAAGGTATGAGACGATGGGAAACAGCAGTTGTTCCTCTTCCTCATGCAGCTAAAAAACACAAAGAGAGATTGGGAACTTGGATCCTGCCTGGACTCACTTGGTTGAATAAGCAAGGGTTGACCCGAGTGAAACGAACATGTTCCCACGGCCACGCATTCCCACCTCCAGGGTCCACCCATCCTTCTCTTCTGGAGATTGCCACCGTCACAGCTTCGCGTGTGGCTTGTGTGGAGAGCAGAGGGAAAGCAGACACGGGGAGGTGTAACTACATCAGCTGCCCAGGCTTAATTTCCATTTTGATGGCATTGTTTGCAGCTACTGCGCATGAGAATGAAAAATAACATTTTAACAGGTTCTTGAAGAAGACAAGGTCTGGTTGTCTTATGTTATTGGAGACTTAAGTTCCCAAAGCAACTTCCGTGCAGAAAGTCACAGGGAGCGCAGCCCCCTGGGACATGGGTGGCCCTTGGAAGGATGAGGTTGTGGAGCAGGGAGTCACTGTTCCTTTGGGGTAAAGTTGTTTAAATGAGGGGAAATTTCTCATGATTCAAGAACCCTGTTACGGTACTAAGGAAGATTAGCCAGGGCTTGGCACGTTGGTGCTGATGCCTGAGGAGGTTTGCTGTCTGCTACCAGATTTGCTCTCCCTTGTTCTGCAAAGCAAGCTGTGCTCTCCAAAAGGATTTCAAGCAATCTGAGATCCGCTTTGCATCTCAATGGCCAAATATGTATACTGATGTCCTGGCTAACCTGATCTTGGAAGTCTAGAAAGCCTCTGTCATGCACCAGGAAAGAGGGTAAGTGAGCCCAAATCAGATTACATGACCCAGTGTTACCCACCTTCCCCAAACCAGTTTTCCATGGCATCCTGTGGACAACAGCAAAAAGGCTGCCGTGGCCAGGGCTCACAGCCTGAAGGCATCGCTGTGTCACGCTGCTGGAGCAGCTGCGCCTGGTCGTCTGTACCTGTTTGCTTCTCAGCACCCCCGCAGCTTTCTTGGCTCCACCTTTATTTTATGCACCTGAATAAAATAAAGGTGGAAGTAGAATCCTGAAAATTCAGAATTTAGATCAAATATTTTCAAAAGGCGTCAGTTTTCACGCTTTCTGTTTGCTTTTCCTTTGATTGTGTGTTTGGCTTCTGATAAACATCAGCTCAATCAGCATCCGTGATGGATCTTAAAGAAGTGTTTGTAGAGGAGGCCTGTCACAGTATTTACAGCTCTCACTGATCTCTCCCTTATAAATTAGAACACACAATAGGATAAAATTTTATTCCTCTTACTAGCAGCCAGTGAGGTTCTCCACGGCAGAAGAGGGCGGGCGGAGCGTTAGGATGCCCCACCACGCTCCGACACCCGCGGCTTGGCCTCGCGCCATGGGAGACCCAGGCTCACGCTGCTTCTGCTCCGTTACAGCCATGGTCCTGCTCTTCGTGGTGTGGATGAAACGCCGGGAGAAGGAGCGCCACACCAAGCAGCTCCTCATCGACCCCGAGGACGACGTCAGGCAGAAGAGGGCGGGCGGAGCGTTAGGATGCCCCACCACGCTCCGACACCCGCGGCTTGGCCTCGCGCCATGGGAGACCCAGGCTCACGCTGCTTCTGCTCCGTTACAGCCATGGTCCTGCTCTTCGTGGTGTGGATGAAACGCCGGGAGAAGGAGCGCCACACCAAGCAGCTCCTCATCGACCCCGAGGACGACGTCAGGGACAATATTCTGAAGTACGACGAAGAGGGAGGTGGAGAGGAAGACCAGGTGAGAAGAGCACTCCCCAAAAGGCAGAAGCCACATCATTTTCACTAAACTACTTGCAAAGGGTTGCGTTTGCCATTGTTCATGCCCAGGAAGCTTTATTGGCTTCCCTGCCATGGCACGGATGTGGGTGAGAGCCAGCTTAGGTCCAGCCCGTCTCTGGGAGGCTCCTGTGCCAACAGCACCATGCAGGGAGGCCGGTGCTACGTGGATTTTGCTATTGCCAGGGCAGCTTCATGGGGAGGGACTACAAATCAGTTTAATGACACTCATGGTCTAGTCGAGAGGTGGTGTCCCTGCCCATGACAGGGAGGTTGGACTAGATGATCTCTAAGGTCCCTTCCAGCCTAGGCCATTCTATGATTCTATGATTCTATGATTCTATGTTCAAACAATATTTCTGCTATTTTAATCATTAAAACTATGTATCATTAGTTTTAATCATTTAATCATTAGTTTTAATCATTAAAACTATGTATTTTACCATTCCCCATCAGGGGACCTAGAAAACCAAGTGGCAGCCACCACCCTGCCTAGAGCTGTGGTTGCAGGCACCTGCCTTGGCTTGCTGGAGCCTAGAGCTTCCGTGGGGCTTCCCTGCATCGTCTCTAGATCTAGTGTAACTTTTAATTATTTTTAATTTCTGGTCGTAGTTGTGAGAAGTGTCTAAATACATTTGGGGATGTTCTTTTTCACCGCGAAGCGTGCAGTGGCAAAGCCTTACTTGGTGACAGAGCCCAAAGCCACAGTCTGCCTGAATGTGTCAGCTTTTCTGCAGTGCCTTCTCCTTACAGACACCGCTGCTGATGCTGCATGAAAACTTCCCTGGCCGGCACTCCTGGGATGTGCTGTCTTTCTGCTACAGATGTATTTCCTCAGCTAAAATAGCAAAGTTTGGATACTATTATTTAGGTCGCTTTTTTTTTTCATTGCTATTATTCCACGTAACACAAGTAAAAAAGCCCGTGACAGTGACAAATACGAAGCATGACTCTGCACTGTGTAGCGGCTTTATTCTTGCTTAAATGGACCACGTGGCTCAGGGGTCTGGATGGAAGCTGCTGTGTTTGTGGTTGGTGTCACTGAGCCCTAAGGTCAGTGGTGGGGGCTGGTGCTTCAGGAATGAATGAAGCCACAGCAGCACGTCCTGCCCTGGAGGTCCAGGTGGCATCCGAAGGCAACCAGGTGAGCCTGGAGAGACACCCCACTGGGAGCCAGCGCAGGGGCTTTGCTGGAAACTCGAGAAGTTCGTCTTCAATGGAAAAGTCCTTGCGATTAGCATGTCTTTTTTCTTGTCACTGACAAGTTGTTTATAAATATTGCTCCTGGAGATTCAATCATCCCCGTCTGAGCACAAGAACAGTTTTGCTGGTAGAACAAAGTAGTGTTATGAGCATTCAAGCTAGCTGAAGGATCTGGTTTCAGGCAACTACACTGTAGGCTTAAATATTTTAGAAAGGATTCATTAAAAATAACAGCAAAGGCAGAGCAGCAAAACACCATTACCTACAGGAATATATTTTTAATGAAATATTACCTGGTTCTCATTCCTTGATAGAAACCTATTCTGTCGGGATTTTTCCCAAGCAGAAAGAACATAATTACTTTGAAAGGCCTACATGCATAAATGCAATATACATTCCAGTGTTTTTACTTCTGTACAAACATAATTGCAATAATATGTCCGCCAACACTGTCTGTACATTATATTATGTATTTCATCAAAAATATATGCACATGCAATCAAAAGCCTGGATTTTTTATCCCAAACATTTAGAGCCCTTGCAAAATATTCAGTAGGTATTTAAATATTTGATTTAACTATATTTTAAGAGTTTTAAGCATGCCAGTTTCATGAGCTAATTGGAGGTGAGGTTCACCTGTAATTTAGGTGGTTAGAGGTGCTGCATACCCAGATATAAGTTTTGCCGTTGAACTTCAGCTGAAGTAGGATTAGATCCCTTGACTCCTTCGTACATTGGGCAAGTAGGTGATCTGAGTGAAAAGCTCTTGGTTTCACTCTCTGCCTTTCCATTTGTCACAGGATTACGATTTAAGCCAGCTCCAGCAGCCAGAGACCATGGATCACGTGCTGAACAAGACACCTGGAGTCAGAAGGGTGGATGAAAGACCTATTGGTGCTGAACCCCAGTATCCTATAAGACCAGTAATCCCGCATCCAGGGGATATTGGTGACTTTATTAATGAGGTATGTTCCATAGGGTGTCCTGTGTCACATCTGAAAAGCCCGAGCAGCCAGCTAAAACCAGCTATGCAACATTTTCCTGGCTGCATGGACCAAGTGGTGCTATTACTCACATAAGGAGTCTGATGAAAACCAGGGGAGCAACTGGCATGAGCGACAGACCCCGAACTTGGCCTCCTAAAGGCACCGAGCCTGTAAAAAGCCAAAGTGCAAGCAAAATCCCAAGACTTCTGATATGGCCTCACAAATAACCATGCTTTTCAGCATCCAGGCAGCATAACCTGGTGACTCTCTCCCTTAGATTCCTCTGAATCTGGCACTCACTGTCAGTAAAATTGGAGGTGGACAAAGGAGGGACGTCCTGGTGAGGAGGCAGTGGCAAGGCAGCTGCCGGAATTGCCAAAAGCCAAAGGCGCCTTTTGTGACTCCTGAATTTGTAGTTATTTCACCAGCTTGTGCCTTCCTAGTAAGCTTTATCTAGTCTAAAGCCTCAAAGAGTTTGCGGAACAGAGAGGTTCGTCTCAGATCAGAGAGAGTTTCTTTGTTTTATGTTAGATTACTGCTCCTTTATCTGCTTGTACAAATGTCTATCCATTTAGTATTTCTTGTCTCTTTTTTAGTTTTGAGTGATTGAGTGGTTGCAAACCAATCAATGCATTATTTCCTCTGAGACAAAACACACCATCCATTTCCTAAGTCAGAAAAACAAATGTTACAGCAATTTAATTCAATTATTATATCCATTTCCTGCTGTGGTTTTTTTCTAATTTTCATCGTTAAAATTCCCTTCTCCAATTGTTCCTGCCTGTCCTTCGCACACACATTTACACACACCCGTACGCATGAAGACTTGCTCTTACACACGTTCTGGCTGCTCCTCATTGCGGTAAAACCCGCTCCATCTCTCCATGTTCAGACCAGGGTTTCTGAGGGCGTACATGCAGAACATTTTGCTTTATTGCAGCTCTATCCCAGTCGGCTTTTCTTGACGCCAGGCTGCAGCAAAGCAATTCTTTTTCTCCATATCCCAAGGCCGTTTCTATGGGCTGCTCTGCCCGAGATTTCACACCAAAAGTCTCTCCTAATTGCAGGGGTTTGTTAGGAGTGATTTTTTTTTTTTCCTAAAGGAATCAAAATTAAAATATTGGTTATTAGTAGGGGAGGAATGATTCTGTTTGTTCTTTTCATTTGGACACTGGGAAGCCCCAGGCTTCTCCACCGTCCTCGTTTTAAATTTCCACCATCCTCTCCCAGCGTTGCTGCCCAAACGTCCCACCAGCGCGGACCCTTCCCGAGTCCCAGCCCCATGAAACCCCCACGGGGGGTATTAACGCCGTATGTTTGCCCCCCTCCAGGGCCTGCGCGCCGCGGACAACGACCCCACGGCCCCCC